AGAATGGTGAAGGCCTCCTCACCGTATGTGCGGAAAAGAATCTTTTTTGTGACGAATACTTTTTTCGTCATAAGAAGATTCACATGTATACATGGGAAAGAGGTGATGATAGAAGCATGATAGATTTCGTAATTGTGGATGAAAGAATGAGGAGCGCAGTCGTAGATACAAGGGTTTACCGGGGGTCCAACGTAGGGACGGATCATTACTTGGTCTTATGTCGAATTAATGGTCTTTTCAAGCGTTGGCGGCATCGGACATCTGTGTCTACCACTGCGTTACAGCGTATAAGAATAGAGAAGTTACAAGATGAAGATGTGAAAGAGAAGTATAAATGTAGACTGAGAGAAAATATTAGATGTTTGAATGAGTTGTGTATGAATGATTTAGACTTGAAGACTGTGTGGGATAATATTAAGAAAGGTTTGGTGGATACCGCCACCGAAGTATGTGGTGTAAGTAAAAGAACAAATGAAAGGAAAAGTAATACGTTGTGGTGGGATGATGAGGTACGGGTAGAAGTTGAATCAAAGAAGAAAGCATGGTTAGATTTACTAGCAACCAAAGCTGGTAATTCTTCTGGTATGAATGATGAGATTGAAAGAAAAAAGGCAGAATTTAGACGTCTAAATAAGAGAGTAAAAGAAGTTGTTGAAAGGAAAAAGAAAGAAAGAATGGATAAGAATGATAGAAGGATATCTGATAATTTCCAGGCTAACATAAAAATGTTCTGGAAACTCGTAAGAACTGCCAGGGGAAATACAAAACAGCCTATAATAAATGCTATAAGAGACGAGAATGGATGTATTCTGAATGATGAAGTTTCGAATTTAAACAGATGGAAGGAATACTTTGAAAGCGTGTTTATGAGTGAAGAGTCGTATGAATTAAATGAACTAGAAATTCCGAAAGAAGTGGAAAGGGGTATGGAGATAAGTGTAGATGAAATAATGAAAGCAATGAAAAGCATGAAAGCAGGTAAGGCAGCTGGATATGATAGAGTATCACTCGAGATGCTAAGGGCTGGAGAGGGAGTGGTGGCAGGCCTGCTGTAAACCTTGTTTAATTTATGTTGGGAATTAAAACGGGTACCGGATGACTGGTGTAAAGCAGTTATAGTACCAATATATAAAGGAAAAGGGTCACAGCAGGACTGCAAAAACTACCGCGGTATCAGCTTGCTTAGTATTGTGGGTAAACTGTATGCTAAGGTGTTAATTGAAAGAGTTATGAAAGAAACTGATGGAAAAATTTGGGATGTGCAAGCGGGTTTTAGAAAGGGAATGGGGTGCACAGATCAAGTCTTTTCCATGCGCATGATTGCGGAGAAGTTTTTGGCCAAAAACCAGAAAGTTTTTTGTGCGTTCATGGACTTGGAAAAGGCTTATGACAGAGTGGACAGGAATGTGTTATGGCAAACACTGAACTCATATGGGTTGAGCGCTGGTTTGATACAGGCATTAGGGTCTCTTTATAGGGACTCTAGTGCTTGTGTCAGGATCAATGGGGTCTACTCGGACTGGTTTGGCATCCAAAAAGGTGTCAGACAGGGCTGTGTAGCTTCCCCTTGGCTGTTCAACCTATTTATGGACCGGTGTTTGCAAACTTTGAAAGATGAAGAATGTGGTTTAAGAATGGGCGAGTTAACCTTCAAATGCCTTTTGTATGCCGATGATCAAGTCATATTTGCGTCATCAGCGGCTGAGTTGCAAATGATGGTTACATTAATGAACTGGGAATTAAAAGAAAGGGGAATGAAAGTGAACGCAAGTAAGACGAAAGTGATGGTTTTTGAAAGAGAAGAAAGCAAAACGGTATGTGAAATAAGAATAGAAGGAGAGTTAATTGAGCAAGTGGATGAGTTTGTGTATTTGGGATGTGTATTTAGCAGGGATGGTAGATATGATAGGGATATAGAACGACGAGTAAATGCAGGGAATAGAGTGAATGGGGTACTACACTCTATTATGAAGAACCAGAATGTGTCAAAACAGGCACGTATGGTAATTCATAATGCTGTGTTAGTCCCTACGTTAATGTATGGTAGTGAAAGCTGGGTGTGGCAGAAGAAGCACGAAAGTAGAATAAATGCTGTAGAAATGCGTTCTTTAAGAAATATGCTAGGGTTTAATCTGAATGACAGGGTGAGAAATTGCGTGATAAGAGATAAATGTGGTATGCAAGATGATGTTGTGACCAGGATTAAGAAAGGAATGCTTCGGTGGTTTGGTCACGTAGAAAGAATGAATGATGAAAGAGTGACAAAGCAAATTTATATGGCAGATGTGAACGGCCGAGTCGGGAAGGGACGCCCTAGAAAAAAGTTTGTCGACCAAATTGGCGATATTTTGAAAATGGGCCACGTTAGAAGTACCCTTAACCGACGAGCATGTATGCGTAGATATATGGATGTAAAGGAGGCGAAAGAGGTATGTCAGGATCGTGCCAAATGGAAGTCCGTAATCTCTGCCTACCCCTCTGGGTGACAGGCGTGAGTGTTTATGTTATGTTATTATGTTATATATATATATATATGTATATATATATATAATCAAATCGACTGAGTAATATTAAAAATTCGATAAGTATTGTTGTATAAATTATTGACCATTAATATTTGCTCACCACTGAGGTAGAATATGTAGAACGAATTATACTCGAACACCATTGTACAACCATATTCTTGCAAATAAAGAATATTATTATATTCTAACCTAACCTGTCCGAGTCGGGATGCCCTAAGTCCCGAGCTTGCATCGCTCGATCTTACACTCAATAAAAACCATAATAAAAAATTAATAAATAAACATATTTTATTTATTTTTTTATAAAATGTTTTTTTTTCAGTGTAGATTATGAAAAAAAGTGTAACAACTTCATTTTTTATTCTTGTAATTTTATTCATAAATCCGCCGTAATAACGAAGATTTTTTTTAAAAAAATCATCGAATTCGGATGATTTTCAATTTTCTAGAGCCATAAAACGAGGTGATCGCGATAGTATAAAATTACCGAATACCCTACCATTGTTGATGCTGCCATGCTTAGCCAGTACCGATCCAGGAGTCTCTCGAAAAGAAGACAAACAAACTCAAACTGCTCCGTTGGTAGGAAATGAAAATTGTACACAGACTGAAAATGCAAAGAATGAAACATTTGCTCAAACTTCAACGAGTCTCTCCTGCAACACTCCAAGGAAAAGAAAATTGAAAGATGAACTCCTTCAATGCAGAAAGATAATAAAATTACACGAAACTGAAAATGAAACACAAAAAGCTGAAGAAAATACTTTCCATTGACTTTGCGAAATATGTTTGACCGACAAACTAGCTCTCCTGATAAAACCCTAAAGTAAACTAAAACAACATGGAAAAGGAAATCTATGCTAGCTATGATAAGGACTACATCATTTATTGTTTAAATTTATACTACATCAGCCCACAAGCATACTGGTTTTTGCAAAGTGCGTTATGTTTACCCTGTCCTTCAACATTGCACAATCATTCTTTCCCAATTACAACTGAAATCAATGAAAGAACTACGTCTGTTCTTAAATTAAAAGTTACACAAATGACAGAAGTAGAAAAAAAGTTGTTCAGTTATGATTGATGCTATGACATTAAAAGCAAATCTATTCTTTAATATTAAAGAAGACAAAATTACCGGATTCTACAAAATTTAAGGATTGCAGTCTCCTGAACCCGCTAAAAATGCGTTAGTAATAATGTTGCGTGGTATATTTGTAAATTGGAAACAACCTATAACCTATATCAAATGCATTAATTTCAGAATGTCGAAGTAGTAAAAGACCTCGCTAAGCAAAAGTTGGACTTTCATCACAAACAAGCTGAGATGGCCAGAAAACTAATGAATAATGATGGAGCAGACTCTAGATGCCCTAATTCAGATGTTCGAGTGGTTCAGTTCGACCTCCAGCAACAGATGTACCTCCCAACATTAACCCATACACAGATGTACTACAGTCGTCAGCTGGCGTTTGTCAATATGGGAATTCACTTGGAAGACGAAGGAAAGGGCATCATGTTTCTCTGGAATGAAACTGTTGGGCAAAGGGGTTCCAACGAGATCGCTTCCTGTCTTTACAAGTTTTTCACTTTTAGTGAAATAGGATACACTACAGATAAAAAGAAATTAATTTTGTGGTCAGATAACTGTGGTGTACAAAACAAGAACCAAGCTGTACTTGCTATGTTTCTCGTTTTAATTGCAAAAGGTTTCTTTTAAGAAATGACTCATAAATTTCCTGTAAAGGGTCAAACATTTCTCGCATGCGATCGTGATTTTGCGATCATTGAAAAAGCGAAAAAGCCACTGATTCCAAAAGACCTTATTGAACTTATTACAAATGCTGGCAAAAAAAACCCATTCTTGGTAGTGGATAATAAAACCTTTTTTAATTGGATGAATCTGGCTAAAAATATGATTAATACCAAAAAGCTACAGATATCTTCGGCAACGATGATTCGCCTAACATCTGAAAATTTTGGTGTCATTTTTACAAAGAAAAGTTACGGCGAATTTGCTCCTTGGATATCAACTCCAGTGCTTAACACTCCGTTACACGCGCGGGGCACAGGCGTGCCCCAGCTGCATATTTTTGTCTGTAAATCACAAAACTTAACAGCCAGGATTTTGATTTTTTAAGTAGCTGTTGCATATATCTTCGCGTGAGCGTCAGTGACGCGTCGACTGTGCCGGCGCTCGGACGTGCTCTGTGTAAGTGTTTATGCATCTTTGGGGCACGCCTGTGCCCCACGCGTGTAATTACGTAACTAGTGGTACGCGGCTTATTTGGTATTTATTATGTTTTTTTTTTTATTATTTTCAAGATAATTATGTTAAAAATCTGTGTAAATTTGTTAAATTCATATTACTGTTTTTATTTTTCTTTATTGGTGGTATGATTTTCGTAATTAAATTGGACATTTTTCTTGTTTTAGGTATTTTATCTTGTAAAGTTTGTCTGATTATCTGCTAAGATGGATGCACAGTCACAACGTGTAGCTAGATGGTTGGAAGAGACGGACGAAGAGGAGGAGAATGATTTGGAGGACCTGCCGAGTAGCGAAGATGAAGAAGATTGTTGTTTAGAAGAAAGACACGATTCTGAGTCGGAGCAAGAAAGCGATGTAGGGGAACAGATAATCCCAGATACTCCATCTGCATTGCAGCCGTTATCAGAGTCAAGCTCAGACGAGGATGTTCCATTGGCCAATTTAAGGATTTACAAATCTAAGTCAGGTCTTGAATGGCAGGCCACACCATACAGAACTAGCGTCCGATCCCAAGCGTCGAACATTCGTAGTCGTATTTGTGGCCCCAAAAATGACGCTTCAGCTTGCAAAACTCCAATCTCTTGTTTTGAATTATATTTTAATGAGGAGACAATAGATATTATTACAAGATGTACAAATATATATATCGACAAAATAAAAACAAAATACCAAAGACAAAGAGATGCCAAGAATACAGACTATACTGAAATCAGGGCAATGATTGGGATGTTACTCATGATGGGTGTAGAAAAAAGTGGTCGAAGAATACTGAAAGATTTTTGGGACAATAGGTTTGGAACTGCAGTGGAGGCTATTTATCTCACAATGTCTCAAAATCGATTTGCCTTTTTGCTAAAGTGCATTCGATTTGATGACATCCATACAAGAGATTCCAGAAAGGAAATTGATAAACTCGCTCCTATCAGACAAATTTTTGACATTTTTGTATCGAACCTACAAAAGTATTATACACCGAGTGAGTATCTCACTCTAGATGAGCAACTTGTGGCATTTAGAGGACGTTGTGGTTTCCGGATGTTTATTCCCAACAAACCAGACAAGTATGGTCTTAAACTTTTTGCCTTAGTAGATGTTACGTTTCCTTATGCATACAACTTAGAAATTTATGCCGGTGCTCAACCTCCTGGACCTTTTCAGGTCTCCAACAAAGTGAAAGACATTGTTCACAGAATGTTAAAGCCTCTCGAAGGTATGGGAAGCAATGTGACCATGGACAACTGGTTTACCAGTATACCGTTGTTGATGGAACTAGAAATGAAGAAGATTACTGCTATTGGGACACTGAAATCTAACAAACCTGACATTCCACTCAATTTCAAATCATCCAAAGGTAGACCCATCAACGACTCCTTATTTGGTTTCCAAAAGAAATGCACTTTAGTGTCTTACGTACCAAAACCAAAAAAAGTAGTTTTAGTGGCATCAACCATGCACAATGATGGTACGATTGATCTTTCTACCGCTGAGAAAAGAAAACCTGAAATAATTACTGAGTACAACAGGACAAAATGTGGTGTTGACGTTTTAGATAAAATGTGCAAGCATTTCAGTGTAGCACGAAATAGTAGACGTTGGCCCCTCACCCTATTTTTTGACATGGTAAATATCGCTGGCATCAATGGCATGATAATTGACACAATGGTCAATCACAATTACCAGCGCAAATCTCGACGCGACTACTTACGTTCGGTGGCTATAGAACTTATAAAGGCTCAAATGCGACAGAGACTTATGACTAAAAACTTACCTCGGACTATCAAGGAGAAGATCATGATGTTTTTAGAAGTAAAAGAGAGTAATTTAGTGCCTGAAGATGAAGTTATACCAAAAAAAGAGAACCAAAACAGCCAGATGTTACGACTGCGGAAGAGCCAAAGATAGATCGACCAGAACATTTTGCCAGAAGTGTCAGAAGCCTGTGTGCAATGACCATAAATATCCTGTATGCCTTGGTTGTTATAATAAATATGTAACCGAGCCCAAAGAATAGTCGGATTATGTCAAAAATCTTAATTATAAGTATAAGTGCCATTTTTCTTTAGTTTTATCAGTATGAAGCCAAATACTTTTTATTTTTTGTTTTAGTACAGAAGTGTCTATTTTTTTGTTGTTTTTTGATAAGTCAATAAAGGCTGATTATATATAAAAACTATAATATTTTATTTCTATTCCTATGTTACTAAAAAAATCACAATATTTTGGGCCACAATTGTGCCCCGCGCGTGGAATCGTGTCACTATTTTAAGCGCGTGTACTGGAGTGTTAAACCTGGAATTACTAAGGCGAATTTTGAGAACCTACAAGTTGACATGATCGAGACACCTGTACCTTTATCTGCCGAGAAAAAGAAAGACATTGGTGCCATGTTGCCGTATTTAGCCGGAGATAGCAAATTATTTTATGAAAACCTTTTAAAATAAAGATATTTCAAGTTGAGTTATGTGCAAGTAATATAATACTTACAACGATATGACTTGCCTAAATAATGGTACTTACAACGTTTTGTTCTTTTAATTTTTTTTAGAAACAAAATAATAATATTTACTTGTTTTGACTGACACAAAAGTTGTGTTAAATTATTAATAATAAATGATAATTTGATAAAACGTTTTTTTTTATTGCTTTGCTCTTTCTTTTTCCATTAAAACTGTTTTTGTATCTCCTGAAAATTCCACTTTCTGGCGCTTGAAACGTTATGGTTTGGCACCCCTCATTTATGTTCTTCCCCTTATATTGGGTAAGTGTGAGCAAATTTATAATATAACTAGTATAATAATTGCATTAGTTTGATTTTTTAAAGTATATATACAAACAATTCATACTTAGTATGTAAATTAAATTTATGTCATATGCTAGTTATTTTGTCATGTAATTTTTATGTCATTTCATTGTACTTAGTAGATATAACGTTAATTTTTGCCACTTTTGCTACTAGCATGTACCGCCGTACCAAATTTATTAGTTTTACTCTACCAGTTAATTATGGCGGTGGATGTTTATGTTTTCAACCTTGGTTGCAAGGTAAATTAAGGATTTTGACTGTGTGTTCCAGGGAAGAAGATGATGTTGTGACCAGGATTAAGAAAGGAATGCTTCGGTGGTTTGGTCATGTGGAAAGAATGAATGAGGAAAGAGTGACAAAGAAAACTTATGGTGCAGAAGTGAATGGCAGAGTCGGAAAGGGACGTCCTAGGCGAAAATTTATCGACCAAATTGGCGATTTATTGAAAACGGGCCAAATTAGGAGTACCCTTAACCGACGAGCATGTATGCGTAGGTGTATGGATGTGAAGGAGGCAAGAGAGGTGTGTCAGGATCGTGCCAAATGGAAGTCTCTAGTCTCTGCCTACCCCTCTGGGTGACAGGCGTGAGTGTTTATGTTATGTTATGTTCCAGGGAACTTTGCTGGAGCTGTGAATCCATATTATTATTTTCCCAAATATTAAGGGTGGGAGGTTATAATTAAATATATGAAATAATTTCATACAAATTAAACTCGCACGAGTGGAATCGGTTGGAAAAGGACACTTATCCCCTACCACTCCCGCCGGACTCGCCGCCAGACGTATCAGGGAAGTACTCACTTTTCCTTCTGATCCTGAAAGGCGCCGAACCCGCGACCTTCTAATTTTATTTTATTTCTTACATATATATTGATTTAGTATTAGCATAGTTTTAGTAGTTTTGTATTTTAGTATAGTTTTTTAAGTATGTATATTAGTATAGTTTATTAGTAAAAGTATTAAGCGTCTTAAAACAATTTTGATGTCATTATTTATTTGTTCAACAAATAATAATAACGTGACAATTCCTTCACTCACATATTCTGATCACAATCAGAGAGAGAGAAAGAGAGAGAGAGATCAGGCGCAAGACCAATGGCTTCACGTTCTTGCAGAGGCGAGTGAAACACCGCCACCTTCTTCACTCCAGGTTATTACTAGGAATTTCTTGACAGAAAAACTAAATAGTTTCTCTGTCAAGCCAATAAAACTAGGCACCCCATAATCAGCAGTTGCAAATAGTTTAAAGACAGGCAAAAAAATTGACTATATTGTGTTTAATGCGTCGTTCTTCGGATTACGTTAGTATTATGACCTGTAGTAGTATGACGCCACGATTAACCATTGCCACGAATTTCAGAGCTAAGGAAAAAAAATACAAAACCGGAAACGCATCCAACGCTCATCTTTCGTGCTCTAATCTATGGATGTCATTGTGATGTTTCGTGTAACCGTAGCTGTGTAGAAAATTTTCATAAAGTTTCAAATTTTGTGTTTTATATATTCAAACCGGAGTATTCAAATATTTTTTGTATATTCGCAATGTCAAGGTAGAAATTTGAAATAATTATATTAAATCAACTGAGAAAGTAACAAAGAAAACATATACGTGTTACGAGCAGTTCCAGGTCGGACTCTGGTGAAGGTAAACAGGTGTTTAGGATACATTTTTATTATTCTTATAGTTTTCACTGCTTTGCCTTACTTTTTCACTGCGGTACTTATAATTTTCGTACTGACAGTAGCTGTTCACTTTTTTTAATGTATTTTGTATCTATCTGATTTGTCAGATTCAACTACTCTGTCACTCGCTAGGCGCTTATAGTGTTGTCACGTGTTGTGCTGATTTAAAAAAAATATTTCTTGATAGAATTATGCCGTCGTGTTTACTTAGATATTGCAGAAATAATTCAAGAAATGTCAGTAAAACCCAAGGAATTATTTTTCATCGGTTAATAAGGTACTTAATCGATAAAAAGTATTATAGATTAATAATAAAACAAAATATTCCTAAGACGCCACTCGTATCATGGAATATAGATTATGAAATTAATTTGTTCAGATACGATATTTCTGTGGGTACTTAAGTATAGGCCGAATATATTATTATACACATTTTTTTTGTAGAAACATATATAAGTTATCATAATTAGGTAAATTTTTTTTATATTTAAATCTGCTCATTATTCTTTTATTTTATTTTTAGGTTTCCACATCAAAGTCAAAGTGGAATAAATTCGCCCATTTTTAACTCTAGCGTGCCCAGCATTTATGAACGACTTTTATTCTAATTTAAATAAATATATTTGTAATTTAAATTTTATATTAATAAGTTTTGTCAAACATAAATTTAGTACTTATGTTTTTTCTTATATTTGACATAGATACCTTTTTAAAATATTTAGACAAAAATATCTTCCTCCTTCCCTCGACTGCGCTACGTTGAGTAGCGTTGTGCTTCCCTTCCCCAACTCTCTCTCTCGTATTTCAGACGAGGGAAGACTGGTCGACGAAGTCCCGCTTCGCGGGGCTCCCACTTCTGGGTGGTTTATAAAAAAATAACCACGAAAGAGATGGCGTGGTCGAATAAGCGAGCGAAGCGACCCCTATATCTCCTTCTAACTGTAACTGTCCTGCTGACGCTTACTGGACTGTATAAATTAGAGGTGAATATATTTGTCAAAAAAAATCAGTGTTTATTTCATAGCGCTCGCGACAATTCTATTATAGTTAAAAGGGACCCAACTAGTTTGTTAATGCCTGCCTGCAGGGCAGCTTTGTTTCATGAAAATTGTTACATAATGTGTATAAAAGTTTTTAATAAGATACCAAAAGCGATTAGAGAGTTAACAACAATGAGAATGAAAACTCACCTAAAATGGCTCATCCAGCAATCTTTTTACTCAATTAAAGACTTCTTTGCACATAAGTAGGAGATACTTTGAGTTTGACACAATGTTTGAATTATGGTATTTTTATAAAATTTAAAATTTTATTTATTTAAGTAGTAAATTAGACATAAATATTGAAATAAATTAATAATTGTGTATGTTATATATATATATATATATATATATATATATATATATATATATATATATATAATAAAATCGACTGAGTAATATTAAAAATTCGATAAGTATTGTTGTATAAATTATTGACCATTAATATTTGCACACCACTGAGGTAGAATATGTAGAACGAATTACCTGGGTGGATTGAAAAGTACTCGGCCAAACACAGATCCATTCAATTCTAAAAATCAAATCTACCCACATTATTTAGTTCAGTTCAGACTAGTTCATTGTGTGAAGTTCGAAACGTGTGCGATAATTAGTTGTGATTTTATAAATTTATTAACAAAGTAATCGGACATAATTTCCGCGAATGGAGCAAATCGAGCAGCGTGCCGTCATTAAGTACCTCCATAAGAAGGGGCTATCATCAAAAGCCATCCATGATGACATGGTCAGTACATTAGGCGATTGTGCTCTGTCATATTCATCCGTCAAAAAATGGATAGCAGAATTTAAGCGTGGTAGAGAGAGTGTGAAAGATGAACCCCGCTCTGGAAGGCCTACGACGTCAACTACTGACGAAAATATTAAAAAAGTACTTGATTTAATAATGGGAGACTGCAGATTAAAAATTAGAGAAATAGCCGAGATTATATGCATCTCTTATGAACGAACTCAAAACATTATTGTAAACGAGTTGGGTTTCCACAAGGTGTCTGCGAGGTGGGTTCCGCGACTGCTTTCAGTTGAACGAAAAAGGACGCGATTGACTATTTCACGCGACTGTTTGGAGTTATTTGAAGCCGATGCAGATGATTTTTTGAATCGTTTTGTTACTATGGACGAAACGTGGGTTCATTACTGTACACCGGAAACAAAACAACAATCAAAACAGTGGAGACGACCTGGTTCACCACCCCCTAAAAAAGGCTAAGTCGATTTTGTCGGCAAATAAGGTGATGGCTTCAGTATTCTGGGACTCGAAAGGTGTGATTATGATTGATTATCTTGAAAGGGGTCAGACTATAAACTCTGATTACTACTGCACCTTATTACGTCGTTTACGAGAGGAAATAAAAGAAAAACGTCGAGGAATGCTCAGAAGAAAAGTCCTGTTTCATCAAGATAACGCCCGTGTTCACACGTCAGTACAGTCAATGGCTGAAATTCACAACTGTGACTTTGAACTGTTACCGCATCCGCCGTATTCACCTGATCTGGCACCATCAGACTTCTTTCTGTTCCCTAAATTACCGAATACCCTACCATTGTTGATGCTTCCAAGCTTAGCCAGTACCGATCCAGGAGTCTCTCGAAAAGAAGACAAACAAACTCAAACTGCTCCGTTGGTAGGAAATGAAAATTGTACACAGACTGAAAATGCAAAGAATGAAACATTTGCTCAAACTTCAACGAGTCTCTCCTGCAACACTCCAAGGAAAAGAAAATTAAAAGATGAACTCCTTCAATGCAGAAAGATAATAAAATTACACGAAACTGAAAATGAAACACAAAAAGCTGAAGAAAATACTTTCCATCGACTTTGCGAAAAATGTTTGACCGACAAACTAGCTCTCCTGATAAAACCCTAAAGTAAACTAAAACAACATGGAAAAGGAAATCTATGCTAGCTATGATAAGGACTACATCATTTATTGTTTAAATTTATACTACATCAGCCCACAAGCATACCGGTTTTTGCAAAGTGCGTTATGTTTACCCTGTCCTTCAACATTGCACAATCATTCTTTCCCAATTACAACTGAAATCAATGAAAGAGCTATGTCTGCTTTTAAATTAAAAGTTACACAAAGTAATCTGAGAAATAGTTATTAATATAAAAGAGCGTACGAAGGCAATGAGTCACAAAGGGCATTTTCAAACAGATGATAAGCTTTTTCAAAGATTTGAAATTAAAGAATCCAGAGAATGGCATTTACGTCACATCAAGTATTAGATTTATTGATGGTTTCCAAATTTATTTATTACATCCATAATGCTATTGTTCAATGACTTGTGGGTGGAAGAATTTAATTTTCTTATGACAAAAAGATGCAATCAAGACAAATACGAACGAAAAATGGCATGGCTCTAAATCCGACTTGTAGACAGTTTGCATCAGCGTTCAAAAAAACTTATTTTTCTGCAGCATCATAAAACCTCCAAAAGGCGGAAATTGTGCAGATGATTTCGGAACTCTTCTTGTACAAACGACGAACGAAAAAGTTACTAGCGATGCATTGCCAGTATCAACCAATGAAATATCAAATACAGATTATGAAGAATTTTCATTACTAGTTCGGATTACAATCAGCTAGTTACGCCAGAAACAAAATTCATTTTTTTATATTTGTGGGTATCTTCTTAAGTGTTGGTTGTTGTTATCTTCTTAAACATGATGATTGTCACGCTTTGAAGTCGTATGTGAAACCCGATCAAAGAAGCCACAATTTCATCTCAGAGAGTCGGTATTTAAGGTACCGTATTCATTACGGAAGAAGATCGTAAACTTATTCATTCATATTTCTGGGGCCTTAAAACAAGGGCCGAAAACAAAACGTTCGTGAGGACTGCTGCTGTTCGTAGATTAATTAGACGTCGTCGCCGCAAAGACCAGACTTCAATGAAAAAAGGAAGTGGACACGATATTTTTTTGAACACTTGCGAAGAAAAGTGCACTAAAGTTCGGGTATGTAGACTGTTTTTTTTAAATACTCTATCTTTAGGTGAAGACAGTTTTAAGCGCTGGACAAAAGAATCTGACACGGTTAATGAAGATCTTCGTTTTGTTGATTCACCCACACTTGACATCGAAAATACATCGAGTGCAGCACTGGTACCAAAGTATACACACGTAACACAAAAAGTAAGAATTTGGGTAGACTTGATTCCTAAAGTACCCAGTCATTATTGCCGAGCGAGTACCAGCAAGCTGTATGTTGAGTCGACATTTAGGTCTGAAAAACACATGCATGACGTTTTCGTGGAATGGTGTAGAGAACACAGTTACCGAGCAGCAAGCAGACCGACTTTCCTAAGAGTTCTGAAACAGGAGAATATAGCAATTCACCATCCACGCAAAGATCAGTGTGATACTTGTTGTAGTTTTAAAGCGGGTAATATTTCACAAAACGAGTATGACGATCACATAATTAAAAAGAATGAAGCACGCCAAGCTAAAAAAGATGCCATAGAATCGGCGAACGAAAAGGTTGTAGTAATCACATTGGATGTGTAGAGTGTCCTACTTGCACCTAAGCTTTTGGCCAGCTCTTTATATTATAAACTTAAGTTACAATGCCATAACTTTACTGTCTATGACTGCAAGACGAGAAAAGTCACTATTTACTTTTGGCATGAAGCTGATGGGGGCGAATCCGCAAATGAGTTTACTTCTTGCTAAATCGATTATATAGCAAACCTAGCGCCGGAAACTGAACAAGTCACTGTAATTTCTGATGGGTGTGGCCATCAAAATCGAAACCGGATTTTGTCCAGTGCTTTAAGTGATCTTTCGCAAAGAATGAATATTAGTGTTGAGCAGTTGTACTTGGAAAAAGGCCATACCATGATGGAAGTTGATAGTGTCATTCAACAATTGAACAGTACATTAAACCCCCCATTTATGCACCGAGTGACTATGTAGCTCGAATGCAGCAAGCTCGACCAAGAAATCCTTACGATGTAAAGTCAATCCACTACGACTTCTTTCTTAATTATGAAGAACTAGAATCCAACTTCAAGTCTATAAGACCAGGTAAGAAAAAAGGTGATCCAGTTGTTGCCGGTATACGAGGACTGAAATACTTGTCAGATGGGTCTGTCTTATGTAAATTGCGACATCCTGACGAATGGACCATCCTACCACAGCGAAGAGCTAGTCGTGGAAGTTTACTACCATAGCAACTATAACAACAGCCCCTCAAAATCACAGAAGCAAATACAAACATTTGCAAGAATTAAAAAGTGTCATTGATAAAGATTATCATCCGTTTTATGACTCGATCTCGTTTAACCCATGAACATAAACACAAAAGATTAATTATAATTTGATTCAGTAGGTACATAATGTACAAGATTTTGTCAAACTGTGAAAATAGTAATTAAAGATAATTATTGTTTTTGCATAACTGATTTAATAAACACGAAATAATAATGATAGTACCTAGTTTCATTTCAATAATAATGTTTTATTATTCTATAGAAACCACCTATGTGACAAAAAGTTGCAATTTTAAATCTCCCATGTGTAGAAGAATAATTAACACTTTAATTGCCGAGCTAATTTGACCTATATATTCCATTTGGGCCATTTGGTATATAAATAGTATATGCTCTGATATATATGTACAATTTTTCTATTTTTTATTATGTGCTTATTTTGGAAATTATAAGGGGTTTTTGTTTGCGGTCACCGGTGGCCGTCGCGGCGTACAGATTGAAATTTGCTTCACAGCGCCGCGCGGGTCATTTCGCCGGTCACCTGTCTCTTTCTCACCCCTTTCTCTGATTAGCGTGATCTCGCGTGACCATGGTTAAGTATGTTTACAGAAGTGCAGCGTGTTGTTTATTTAAATTACGAGTGCACAAATAATTATCTTTTACAAGTATTTAGTTCCTGTTTTGTGTTTGTATAATGGAATTTGATAACTTTGAGTTGACACAGGACGATCTGTCGTATTTGGACCATTTGGAATTAAAAATAACGATATTGTGCCGATTACTGTGTGTGAAAATGTGGATTTTGCTTTTCCATATATTCCTGATATTAGTTCCGATTCTGATAATGAGGATGATTGTTTACAACCAGTGCGTAATAGAAAATGTCACCGCATTGTGTCTGAAACTGAAAGTGAGGATGAAATAATACAGCCGTCGCCTCGCGGTTCTACGTAATCTTCGGGAAACTGGTACTCTCCATCTGGTAATCAACCGAAAATAATACCTTTTACGGAAACGCCAGGTTTAAAGCCTTTTTCTTTACGCCATAGCTTGTCATGTTCTGGTCCCAGTGATTTTTTATAGCTTGATGGTACCTGACGATATTTTTGAACGCATAGCGAGGGAAACTAACATATATGCCCAACAACTTGTATCGAATGACACGATAAAAAGAGTTTCGCGATTGAAAAACTGGACAGACACAAACAAAAGTGAAATAAAAAAATTGTTTGGCCTCATCACGTACATGGGGCTTGTGCGGCTACCAAAACTGAGTGACTATTGGTCAAATGACGATATGTTCGGACAACAATATGCTAAAAAAAGAATGAGTCGTAATAGATTTGAATTGCTTTTACGCATGATTCATTTTTCTGATAATACCCAGGCTACGTCACATCACCGCTTGTACAAAATCAGATCCCACGTTGACGAACTGAATGTGAACTTTAGAGCACATTTTACTCCGGATATTTCCCTATGTGTTGACGAAAGTATGATACCTTTTCGCGGGAGAATACAAGAAGTACAGCATTAAAATATTTAAGTTATATACAGTTCCGGGTACAAGTGCAAGCTGGAAGTCTATGCTGGAAAACACTGTGATACAACAAACACTACACCGACTCAGGTTGTTATGTCACTTTGTCGACACTTGTTCCAAAAAGGACATGTACTGTACACGGATAATTGGTACACAAGTATTGATTTTGAAATAATACTAGTTTTTACGGAATTTATCGCGTATATTTAACTTTTTAATTCCCCGACGTTTCGAACGCTTTACAGCACTCATGGTCACGGGCAGGACTGAGATGTTCAACGTCCATATGCCATAGTTAACCGCGGTTACCATAGATTAAAATTTAAATTTTGTTCCGATCTATGCAGTATGAACTTATGGTATCTTGAAGTCTTGCAGTTGTATGCTTGGGTTGGGATTTAATTTTATTTATTATAGGATCCCAAGCAGATGGTAGCACCCAGCCATCTTCTCTATTGAAATTAGGATGTTTTTTGATTTCAATAGCTTCGCGAATCATCCTTGGAACACACTGCAGACTGCAGACTTCCCAGACTTTCTGTGAACACGTACAGGATCGCCCCCGTCACTACATCAGATTTGATAGACCGCAGATCCTCGCTAAAGAACACCGATTCCTTCCAAGGATGATTCGCGAAATTCCGTAAAAACTAGTATTATTTCAATGTGTAGTGTTCGCGTAAATATAAGAAATCATTAAGTATTGATTTGGCTGAAAAACTATTACTGGAAGAAATGCATTTGGTCGGAACGTTGCGCAAGAATAGAAAAAAAAAATACCGAAAGATGTTATGAATGCAAAATTAAAACCAGGAGAATACAGTGCAGCTGAAAATGAGAAAGGGATCATTGTGATGAAATGGCGTGATAAGAGAGATGTGTCCTTGTTGTCTACTAAACATACCACAAAATTCGTCACTACCACAAATAAAAGAGGACAGTCAAAAAGAAAGCCACAGATAGTTGTCGACTATAATAAAGCGAAATCTGCAGTTGACCTGTCAGATCAAATGACAGCTTATTCGTCGCCATTACGGAAAACTGTCAAATGGTATCGAAAGTTAGCTTGTGAACTGCTACTCAACACAACTATGGTAAATGCCATGGTTCTGTATAAACAAACCACGAAAAAGAATATTTACATATGTACAGATTCGTAAAGCAATTGTGAGATATCTTGTAAAACCTGATGAGGATAAAGAAATGTCTGAAAGTGCTTCGAAACGTCCTAAAAGATTAAAACACGAACAAAAAACAAAAGAAGGCAAAGTTCGCACAACAAGAAGATGGTGTCAGAGCTGCTACAAAATAAATGTTCAAAACATGGGCAGGAACATTGCTAAAAACAAAACTAAAAAAGTAGCCACTTTTTGCCCCGACTGTCCGTCACAGCCACATTATTGCTTGACCTGTTTCAACAGGGAACATCGTTATTAGATGATTGTTAATTTGACTGAAAACAACCCGATAAGATTACTTACTTGTCCATCTGTTTTTCCTTAGCTTGTTTCTTTACATAATTATTATTGAAGAACAGAAGTGTATTTTCGTTGTTTATTAGCCAAGGGAGTTTAAAAAAGTTTTGAATTTTGTTAAGTTTTCAATACTATTATATAATTTTTTTAATGTCTAAGCACCTATTTCTTGATAAATATAATGTTTTTTTTAAATTAATTAAATATAAAAATAAAATACATTTTTCATTTATTTCCATTCAATTTTTACGAAAATTTACTTGAAAACTTATAAAAATTTAGAAACCAAGCGCTCAGAAATGTTCCTGGGCGCCGCGCGGGTAATAACGTACTGTAAAACGCCAGCGAGTGACCGCCGGCACTCAGCAACGTTTCAAAAACTAGTCTTCCTTACCGGTCACCGGTGACCCCCACGGCGATTAATGTGTTAAAATTATATAATTAGTCCATTTAACGTATGATATAAAATTATTTATATTTCAATACATTGGAACCACTTTGTTTTTCTTTATAACCAAGGGAATAAAAATATTTTCTAAGATTTTTTTGTAGCAGGAAGTTAATTTCGTTTTTCTCGAAAAGTTACTTTTTACACATAGGAGATTTTAAATTTGCAACGACGATATAGCTAATATTGAACGAGTCCAGAGATGTTTTCTGCGGGGTTTATGTCGTAAACATGGACTGATCCGCCAGTTGCCATCGTTTATTGAAAGAGTGAATTACTTTGGAGTTACGAAATAATATTCTGAGCTTATTTACCTTCACAAAATCATTCACTCCCCCATCGATTGCCCAGAAATGCTTAATTTAATTAATTTAAACGGTCGGGACCGTCTGCGTAACCCGCGTATCTTTCGTCTTGATGTTTACAGAAACAACACGTCTTTCTTTAATGCAGTTATTAGAATATTAAGCTTACCACGATTGGTTAAGGGGAATATTAGTAATGTTTATAGCATTATTAATATTCTTTTTTAATAAAAAAAAAGAATGTGTCGAAATTTCGACGAGCTGAGACATCGTTACGCTGATCTGGACATTTTTAATTCCAATATTACACAATTTAGAAGATCCGTAATTGCTAAGTTAAATATGTAATATCATTAAATAAGTTCTTTTTTTTTAAACTGTCACTAGTACTATGTATTATTAGTTTATTTTTCTGTCATACTTGTTGTCATATTTTGTTTTACTGTGCACACTTTATTAGATTATAGACTAGTTATAATATTTTTGTTACTGTAAATGTGTTTTGTATTGTCTTCAATCTGTTCGTGTGCCTTATTAATAAAAAAAAATGTTTTATGTTAACAGGTTCACGGTTCAGAGAGTGAAAATTGTGTGTAGAGAGTGAAAATGTGGTCTGTGCGTATTTTTGTCGTTATATTATTTTTTATCTGTATCAAATAAGAAATTACCATAGACAAATTATGGATTACGATGACATAAGTGAAATAAGCAACTTGATTGACAAAATGACGTTTATGACATTAGTAGAAAGTCAAAACAATGCAAACCTGTTTGTATTTTTGAGCTTGTTTCGCTGATTTATAAGTTATTGTGGCAAAATGAGTAAAAAACAATACTGTAGAAGAGTTGCGAAGAATATTAGAAGAGAGTGATTACGAACAAAATAGCCAGTCAATTTCGTCGGATGAAGAAGAAAATGATACCGACGGCCGTAGTGATGTGCCTGATTTTGACGATGATGATAGTGTAGCCGATCCCGATTTTATTCCTCATGATTTGTCACCTGACCGATCAAGTCTACGAGATATAAATATTCAGCATTCGATTGAACAACATATGAATAATGATATTTTTGAAAGTACGGTGACATCTCATCCGTCGACGTCTCGTAACTCTAATGACACTTCACAACAAATCCAAATAACCGCACCACCTGATTCCGATTCTGACGACGACGGAGACATTGAAATAAATGCAGCTCCAACTGGCATAATACCACCTACAGAGCGTCGAATGAAAGAACATGATGAGGAAAATGGATGGAGTTACGACATTCAGCCATTAGTTCGTCAAATTTTTAGTAACTCAGAAAACTTTATACAAACTGAAAACAATCCAGAAAATGCAGATGTGTTTACAATTTTTCGTCTTTTGGTTGATGACAATTTTTTTGACCTTGTGATAGAACAAACCAATCTGTACGCTGAACAACTGATTGCTAATAATTCTGGAGGTCGTTTGAGCCGCTGGAGACCGGTAAACAAGGAAGAAATGGAAAAATTTATGGGCATTTACTTGCTGACTGGTATAATCAGATTCCCTACATTAGAATGCTACTGGAAAAAAGATCCCATTTTTTATCATCCTCTATTGCATCAGCTACAAATGTCCTACAATCGTTTCATAGCAATTTTACGCTGCTGGCATTTCGTCGACAATACAATTGAAAGAGATGTCAATAATCGCTTGTATAAAATCCAGCTTTCGCCAAAAGACTGCGTTGTTGTGGATGAATCTATGGTTCCCTTTCAAGGCCGACTGCTGATTCGTCAGTATAATCCAAACAAAACTCACAAGTACGGACTCAAGATCTACAAAGTCACAACTGATGATGGGTATGTTTGGAAATATAAAGTTTATTCTGGCCAAGATCCTCAAATCTCCAATCTTGATAAACCTGGAAGTGTTATTATCGAGCTTTGTGAAGACCTTTTGGACCAGGGGAGAATGATTATAGCAGATAATTGGTATACAAGTATACCATTAGCTGAATACTTGCTTCAGCGTAAAACTGATCTTTGTGGGACATTGAGGAAAAATCGTAAAAACTTACCTTTATTGATTAAAAACAAGAAACTGAAGAGAGGAGAGCAAGTTGCTGCTCAAAAAAATAATGTGACGATCCTAAAATGGCATGACAAGAGGGACGTGCTCATGATATCTACTTGTCACGCAGATGAACAAACGATGAGTACAGGTCGAAACCCGCGTCCAAAGCCTAATATGATATTGAATACAATAATCGAAAAAAAGGTATCGATCTTTCTGACGAATTAGCTAGCTACTATTCGCCAATTCGTAAGACTTTAACATGGTACAAAAAAATTGCTGTCAATGTCCTGTTTGGAGTGGGTGTCATAAATACAGTTTATTTGTTCAATAAATTGAACCAGCAGAATAAATGTACGTTATTACAGGCCCAAATCTGTATTATAAAAAATCTTTTGGGTATGAACGTTGTCCAGACACCGGCCACACCAGCGCCGCCGGCGCCGTCTACGTCACAAGCACAGCATTTTCTCAAACAGCTGGATAGAAAAGATGGCAAAATTACCAAACGTAGGTGTGCCGGATGCTATAATGAGTTTCATCAAAAAGGGGAAACTTCAGCAGCTGCCACTAACAAAGCCAAAAGGGTTTCACAAATATGCAACATCTGTACCAAACCGTATTGTCTACAATGTTTCCAAAAAGAACATAATAATATGAACATTTAATTTTTTTTTACTTTTTGGTACTTTTTTCTTTTTCAATAAATAACTGTTTACTTTTCATTACATTGTATGTTTTATTTTACATATTCATTATTTATTTAGCTTAAAGTGAAAATGCAATAAAATGCACATAGGTAACTTTGTATTCGATATTACATTTTTTTTAAATCGCAATTACGATAAAACGGCACATCTGTTCCCTATGTCCCAACACTATTTGTATAGGGTATGTTCTGTCCAGTCCATGTCAAATGAACGACGTTCTCCCCACGTCCACTGATAAAAACAGCCTGGAAGTTGTATTGATGAACAGACCACATATGGTCTGTAGACTGGTAGTGTAGTTTGGTCTACAGACCATATGTGGTCTGTGGACAGTGAACCTGTTAAGTCATTGTTGGTCTATATACTGCGTACAATATTTTATTTATAAAAGAGGCATAATATTACTATTTATGGTTTACGTTGATAATGTCATCCAATAGGTCGAAAAAGATGATAGAGCTTGTTCAGGTTCGCGACCGGCGCCACAACCGGCAACACAAGTTGAACATGAATCGGTGCCATAAATTGAAGTAGAGGTAACAATTTCAAGTAACTTTAAAAATGAGGTTTGTATTAATTTTTTATTTATTTTATTACTACTAAAATATTATAACATAATATAAATTATAACAACTACTTCACCACTCTAGACATATTTGGGACTAATGTTATTTCATTTAGAAATTCAGTTTTAAATCTGTTGCATGAAGTCAACACCACGCAATATGTTCACATTTATTTCAATTAAATCTGTAGCCAGCGTACTTAAAAGAAGTAAGTACTAACTTTAAGTAAAAACACGTAAATTTTTTGTATTATAATTCGTGGTTAACGGTGTTGCTTTCACAATTATTTTTTATTGTGATGTGTATTTATTATTTTAAACTTCTTATTGTGAAACTGTTTGTTGACCCAAATAAATGAAAAAAGTAGGTTTTTTTTGTTATAGATGTTAGATGATATAACAAAAAAGCCCGAAAATCAACGTTATTTAAACGTACAGGAATATTTTGGAATTCCGGAATCGGCTTCAGTCAGCAATGGAAATACCTTCATAACACAACAGTCGTCCACGATCGCACTGATGAGTCTACATAAATAAGCAAGAACTAAGTGAGAATAAAAAAACCGGCCAAGAGCGTGTCGGGCCACGCTCAGTGTAGGGTTCCGTAGTTTTCCGTCCGTCACAATAAGTGTTCCCACTTATGCGTTTGTACAAAAACTGTTGTTTCCATCCAAGTTCAAAATGATTTTCCTAGAAAGTCCTTATAAAGTTCTACTTTTCAGATTTTTTCATATTTTCTAAACTTATGGTTCAAAAGTTAGAGGGGGGGGACACATTGTTTTTTACTTTTGGAGCGATTATTTCCGAAATTATTGACATTATCAAAAAATGATTTTAGTAAACCCCTATTCATTTTTAAATACCTTTCCAACAATATATCAGACGTTAGGGTTGAAATTAAAAAAAAAATCACTTCCCACTTTACATATAGGGGGGGCTACCCTAATAAAACATTTTTTTCCAATTTTTATTTTACCACTTTGCCGGCGTGATTGATACACATATTGGTACCAAATTTCAGCTTTCTAGTGCTAACGGTCACAGAGATTAAGCTAGGACGGACAGACGGACAGACAGACATGGCGAAACTATAAGGGTTCCTAGTTGACTACGGAACCCTAAAAAGATCTAAGAGAGCTATTATCAAAAAAAAATGATCCCAAATTTTTATTCGAATTTTTATAACTATTATTTAAGCCCAAACTTAACATGGATTACTGATTACATACCAAAGTTAATTGAAAAATAAGGTTCTAAGAGGGCATATGCGTTTCGCGTCGAAAACTACATGTTTTAGGGTTTTTCCAAGGGCGATATCGTAACGATGTGAGGAGATTATTTGCCGAAAATTAGGTTAGGTAGAAAGATGAAGTCTTTATTTAGTACATAGCAATGCAAAATCATAGTTTTTAATGACGGTTTTTTAGAGCGAAGACAATCCCTTCACAGCATTTTACGAAAATATGCATCAGAGTTATCTTTCAGGTTGAATACAACCATTATTCTAAGCTAATATACTTTATTTTAAGCGTTAGTATAATGGAATATATAGTCTTTTAGTGTATAACAAAACCTAAATTACGAATATATTTCGATTTAATATTATAAAACAATATTATAAAATCGCTAAAACTGTCTACTTCAATGTAATTTTTTCCGTGTATTTAGTTATAAACATATCTATTTTAATTATTTTATCAAAATAAATGTAATGTTAAACATCCAAAAAAAGTTTTAGCTGGTTTTATTTTGTCAATTTTTTTATATAATTATTTTAAAAATACTACAAATCGTCACGCGCAGACGCCGTCAGTGTGACCATTTGTGGCAGATTTCTGCCATTTCGGTAGATTTGGCACTTAAATTTGAACTCTGGCAGACTAAGCTGACGATTCAAAAAAGTGGCAGATTTTGGCAGATTTGAAAGAAATCTTTATTATTTATGGAATACATTTTTGTATATTGGTATTTGTATTTGAAATACTTATAATTTCCGAAGTCTTATTTTCTTATTTAATTTATTTTTAATATACATTTATTTGGTAGGAAATTATTTACTGAGGTGGTAACATAGTACATAGTTAGTAAAACATAGTTTGTCAAGATAGTACTTTTATTTTATTATTATTATTATTTATTACACAATTATAACATCATTACAGTTATTAAACTAATGCGATGCTATAACTAACCTAAATATAAGAAAACTACTGATTAACAAATAAAGATATCTAGTATGAAATCTATCAAATTTATGGTAAAATAAAATACTAATTAAAAACATTACAATTTTCAACGCATTTGTATGCTGCAATTATGAATTTCGTCTACATGCAAATATGTCAATATCCTGTGAGATGATATTAACAAAGTGTATAGCACGTGACAATGTACGGGTATTTCTCGTTTATTTAATTTTCATGGTACGCCATATGATAATGAACGGTAAAGAATCAGATATAAGGTTTAATTTCTTATAAAAATAACTGATCGATTTTCAAATCAATGTTTATTGTCTTTTCTATCTGATAACCTGATCTGGCACCTTATTCTCGTTTGATGTTTAATGTGTGCAGTTGTGTCTTTATGATGAAGAGAAAATACGAGCGTTCGTCCCGACCTGAGTGAGGAAGCAAGATGCTTTGCTTTCGTCCTGGTTTTTCGGAGTTAAGGAGGATCTTGATATTGCATGTTGCAAGGCTTGCAATTGTAAATTAGTTACAAGATTGACTTTATTAAAAGAACATGTGTCATCCCAAAAACATAAGAAGCATATGATTGGGTATAGCGGCCAATCATTGGTAAGTATTTCACAATAAATGTAAACATGTTTTTTTTATTCTTATACTATTTTACTGGACATTGTAAATTTAGATTAGACAAATATTATTAAATTATTTCAGGTGCAACAGATTTTTAAGAGCTCTAGCTTAGAAGAGGAAGTCAAAAAAGCAGAACTTATTTTTTGTGCTATGCTAGTCGAACACAATTTACCGTTTCTATTAATGGATCATTTGAGCGAAATTATCTCAAAATGCTTTCACGATTCTGAAATTGCCAAGTCATTTTCCTGCAAGAAAACTAAAGCAGCAGCGGTAACCTATAATTTAAACTATATTTTAAACCAGATCTAGAAGCAGAGATGCTTGCCGATTTAAAATCATGTAAAAACATAAAAAAAATCGTACACCAATATTTTCCTTGGCTATAGTTGAGACCACAGATGTCACAACCACATTAACGCTTGCAGTTGTTACCAAATATTATTCCGAAAACAGCTTCAGGTAAAAACAAAATTTTCAACATTTGGTGGACTTGAATGGAGAATCAGCTCAAGCTTTGTTGGATGCACTTTCCGAGGCCTTTAAGTAATACTAACCTTGATATTAAAGATGTAATTGGTTTCGACTAACACACTAACGTTAAGTTTGGCGAACAAGGTGGTATTATGGCCAAAAAAGACATACATATTTTGTGAAGATAGACAAAAAGTCTATCGCCATAAAAATAAGGAACAGGTTCTTAAACAAACATGTACCTCTTTAATCACAACAAAAATAGGTTTAAAAGAAAACGGAGACTGTATCTCTTTTAAACCAACGAAAAAATTGATTAAAAAGATGTCGTTGAAATCAGTATATAACGAAAATGAAGAGTATGAAGCAAGTGTTGAATAAGTAAAGTTCTTAAATGAAAAAAAAGTGAAATATTGTAGAATAAAGAACTTCCTTTTTATAAATAGTATTTTATTTATTCATACCCGTCTCAGTGCATGCAATAATGTGATGGCATATTTTTGACATTATCTGGAGTCGATTCGGCAGATTTTTTCCAGTGTGTGGCAGATTTGCCATTTTTGAGATGGTCACACTGGACGCCGTCCGATTCAGTACGCTCCGGGTAATCTCAACGACAGGACGTATCATTTTTTCTCACCGACACCGCGCTATCGCGTTGATACACCGATAGGGAACGGGTGGGCCAGAAAGGAGTACGATTTTAAAAACACTTGCGTTTGAAGCTTTAGAGAGGGGACTGCGCGGGTGGTGGGGTTAAGTAGCTCGGTTCTCGGAAATTTAGTCGCGATGGATCACTTCACGGGAGCGCAACGTGCTTTCTGCGTTAAACATTATTATAAAAATCACGATTCGTGCGCTATTGTTCGGCGTTTATTTCGACGTGAGTTTGGATTACATGACCTAAATCAGTGTCCGAAGGAAAGCGTGATTCGATCGTGGGTCAGAAAGATCGAAGCCACTAGTTCGACTCTCAAACAGAAGCCTGCGGGACGCCCAAGGTCAACAATTACGAAAGACACAATTGAACAAGTTAGAGCTTCAGTTCAACGTAATCCTGTTCTATCGACTCGAAAGCGTTCAGCCGAACTTGTGGTGTCCAGAACATCTTTGCGTCGCATTTTGTTGAAAGATCTGAAATGGCATCCGTATAAAATTCAACTTATGCAGGAATTACAGCCAAATGATCCAATTTTAAGGAGAGCTTTTGTTGAAACGATGCTGGAACGCTTTCGGAGTTTCAACAATATTCTGTTCTCCGACGAAGCCCATTTTCACATAAATGGGCAGGTGAATAAACAGAATTGCCGTTACTGGGCTGCAGAGAACCCACGTGCAAAACATCAAAAGCCTCTACATTCGCCGAAAGTAACCGTTTGAGCGGCCATGTCAGCGCACGGAATTATCGGACCCCACTTCTTCGAAAGTCGACAAGGCCAATCTGTCACTGTAAATTCTGACCGATACATAGCCATGTTAAGGGATTTTTTCTTTCCACAACTGCAACAATTTGAAGCCTATAATCGTGCGACATGGTTTCAACAAGATGGCGCGACATGCCACACAGCTAATTCCTCTTTGACGGTCGTAAACGAGATGTTTGGTGAGAAACTGATATCGCGCCGAGGTGACATTGAATGGCCTCCTAGAAGTTCGGATCTTA